TGTATTCTTTTCACTTATTTCTTTTTAAGCACCTATGTATTTTTATTTGACAATGTATTTTTGTGCTTTGTTCCCTTTTCTGTTATTTTAAAAGTAATAAAAAATAAAAAGATTTTGCAAGTCTTTAGAAATATATCAATCAAGCAAAATCATTTAACATAGGGAAAAGTGGAACACAGTGATCTTTTATATGGATACCCTTATATACACACAGAGTTCATCTCTAGCTGAATTTGGGAATAAGGGCAACTAGCCATATTCTCTCTCAGTGTTACCTTTTGCTTGAAAAAGTCAAACCAAAATGAAATAGGGAAGTGCTACTGAGACCCTGTCCAGTCTTAGGCTTCTCATTAATTGGGAATGGTGGGAATAGAACATTGCCTTAGATAAGCTTTTCACCTAATGTGGTCTAGGGTTCGTTATATTTCTATATCAAGGATTAGAAATGATAATGTCCACCTTGATCTCCTTTGCAAATCAGACTTTGGATAAATCTTTCCCTCCTCCTCTATCTGGCAGCCTGAGTTGAAATAACACTTCCTCTTGAAAATGTGCCCTGCTTGCTACTGGGAGTAGGGGACTGAGTTGATGAAATCCAAGGTGAAAAAGTTTGCAACCTCATCCCAGGCCTGGGGTTTCACTTCTATCCTACTGGACATCAGTTGCAGGTTGCAAAGCTATTTTCAGGGCATGAAATCAATATTTGCATATTTCAGTCAAAGACTGCTTGCTAAAATAGCTCAACAGCCTTCCTTCTTAGAAGTTGGATTCTCCTTTAACCAGGAAGGTTTCCGTAAGGAAGTACTAATGAATGCTAGGAGTGGATTTCTTTTCCGCCATACTTATATATTTGGACTGAACTGGGCCATGGTGAGGAATGCTTATATCCAAATCTTTCTGGATTGTTTTCAACATGCAGAGTGGCTTACATTTCCAATGTTATCATACCAGCAATCTGTGGCATACTCTTTCATAGATTCTGAAGGACGTGAGAATTCTGACAGTCTATTAAAAATGACTAAATATTGATTAGCTTTACTTGCAGCCCAAAGATTCTCACACAGCCCAACATGCATGAAACACCCCATTTCTTAATTTGATATGTCTTTATCAAGTTGATGTCCATTTTTTCCATTTCTTTGAAATTATAATTCTGAAATTAATACAACTTGTGAACATGACTATTTTCTTAGTCAAGCCCAAGGATGGCAAATATAGCACACTGCAATGTATAATGCAAGAAAGAACCTGTATGACTTCTCAGCTGAAGCAGAACAGCACCCTCTTACAGCAAAGAATGAGGGAAGGAAAGAAATAACACAGAGAAAAGTTAAAAACAAAGAAAAAACAATCAGAGTCTAGCAGCCATTGTTATCGGTAAGGCTTTACAGAAGCAACCAGGCTGGCTGGAAAGGCTGGGAGTTGGTATCAAGAAGGCACGAGATTGGGGAAAACTGGTTTCTATTTAACCAGTGTTTCTACTACAGAGCTCCAAAACAGAAGACCATGGGATCACCTGGAAACCAGGCCATAACAGATGAACCCAGGATGGATGGATGGATGAAGCTGTCGAGTCCATTGGGAAAAGCCATCTCCATTAGAAGTA